ATACAGCCAGGCAGAGTGGTGAGTGAGAGGAGAAGATATAGTCTGCGACAATGGGAAACAGCTGAGGGTGAGTGTAATGAGTGAATGACTGAACAGGTGTATGGAGTTTGGGGAATTAGTGTAATGAGTGAACAGGTGTATGGGGTTTGGGGAATGGAGTCCGGGAGATGGCGCCCTCTGGAGGAGAGAGGGAGAAACGCAGGGCCCAGACTCATGACAAAAGGAGAATGAGTAGATTCATTTCAGATTTAAAGGGTTAGTTCACCCAAAAGTTAAAATTCTGTCATTAGTTATTTACCCTCAGGTCGTTCCAAACCTGTAAGAGCTTTGTTCATCTTCAGAACACAAATTAAGATATTTTTTATGAAATCTTAGAGCTCTCTGACCCTCCATAGTCAGCAAGGATATTACCACGATCGACGCACAGAAACGTAGTAAGGACATCAGTAAAGTAGTCCATGTGACATCAGGGGTTCAACCGTAATTTTACAAAGAAGCAAGAATACTTTTTGTGTGCAAAGAAAACAAGAATAATAATTTTGAATGGGGTCATTCTTATAAATTCAGTTATTATTTTGTCTTGTGGAGTATATGTAAACATCTGTTATGTGAAATAGCTTACTCAGGACAGTACTAAATAAAAAATAACATGCAATTTTCATGATCCCTCTTTGTATGGGTGAATAAAGCGAGACCAACAGTGACAACAAGATCGCGAATTCGAAAGTGAAAGCATCCGAAACCCGCGGCTTAACATAGCAAAAGAGAAACTCCCATTCATAAAATTCAAATCACAAATAATACTACTGATGATAAAGAACGGGTTGAATGTTAACAACTTTCGTTTCCATATATGTTTTCTAGGGGTGTAATGGTACACTTATTCGTACCGAAAATTGTACCGAACAAATACAGTGTAATTTTAACCACTGCACGAGCGGAACTTAATCCGTTTCAATTCATAACCGTGAATAGATCTTCACTAGGCTATACATTATTACTATACATTACATTCTGTAATCGTAAGGTTTGTGTTTTGTTCTTTTCGATAAGAAACAAAGTCTCATCTTTAAAATTATGCATATTTTATCAGGAAATTAAATCCATAAATGCCGTTTTGACGCTCTTTGATGTGTCGTGACAGACGGCTGCAAGCGACCCAGTCAGCAAATTTCCTTTGGCGCGGATCTGGATCATATCAACAGCTAAAGTGTGGCCCAGATTAGTTTGTGTTTGCCGGCCCAAAACTGGTCCACATCTTTTTAGCCAGAACTGAACCTAAACAGTGCCATAACCCAACCCAGAGTGAGCCAGATAATAAAAACAGATGTGGCTGATATATGGACCTTATATGATATTCTCACATGGCTGTGTTCTGTAAAGGGCTGATGGCCCTTATGTGGCCCACATGTGGCTGACAAACCAAATGCCATTATTTAACCATATTTACACCACACCTATATTTTTTTATTTAAAATACCCATTACACTGTAAATCTTAAACACAAAAATGGATTCACACTCGTTTTTAAAATGTTTATAGTAGAATTTTAATAACAGAATTACAATACAGAACATAACAGAAGTGTGCTATTTTGCAAATGTCAGATGAGTGAATAAATGTACAAAAATGTATACTTTTAGTAAGTCTCGCCAGTCTCTCACTCACAGTATGTCAGGAAAAAGAAGAGAAAAAAGAAGGTTAGTATATCATAATTAGTATCACACTTTAGATATTTTTTTAAGACAAGCACATAAATGTGTAAATCAGCACTGCACACATTATTTTCTATCACCCAAGACATGAGTGCCTTTTTACATTAGGAACATTTTAGCTACTTTAATAACAGGCTATTTTTAGACATAATACTTAATAATATACACAAAATTAATGAAAACATTAGTAGTGTAATTGTACCTCAGTTTTGAAG